CCGTATAAATATAAATAAATAAAATAAATATATTGTGTCCAACTACAACTAAAAAAATTTTTTTAATGTCAACAACATGACTAATATGCTCAATTTACTTTGTACCTGGCACTGGGCTAAAAACTTCCCATGCAGTGTTTCTTTGATTTTCACAGTGATCTTTTTATTAAGATGAGAAAGGAAACTCTGAGATTGCCTTGCCCAGGGCACACAGTTATCCTGCAGCTGGCAGGACTCATCTGGTGGGGTGACTAGATTCTTGTCCTCTGCCATCATGCTTTCCAGACTCCCTCAGATTAAAACTCAAAGGTGATTGAAAAGGGATAACTATGCTAATAATGTTCCTTTGAATATTTTATATGAAGAGGTTCTGTGACTTGCTTTTTAGTAGAAAAAATTTCCATGATATTGAATAATAGTAATAATTCAGGAGTGTGTGAGATGGCTATCAACTTTCTATCAATGCTGAGTCTTTCTATTTATTGTTACCAGATCAATTTAGGAGTCATATTAATATAATTGGTGATTTAATGACCGGATAAAAAAAATAGAAACTTCAGTAGCTATATTGTATATGCTAATTATAGTTTTACAGCTAGACAGCTAGTTTGTCAACAGAATAAAATCTAGATAATATAATTTGCCTATATGAAAGAGAATGTGGTTTCCTACATAGTTTTTATGTATGAAATGTTTTAAAGCTTTTAACTCTATTAATAGCAACAGTAGGTATGGCAGTGTGCTGCAGAGTGCTTAAAGCTTTGGAATTAGAAGAAAAACAGGATTCAAATGACAGTTTTGCTACTTACTAGGACATATGGACTTAGTTATTAAAACTTATTATTTAGACTTCTTATTAAGCATCAATACTGCCATCTGGAAAGTGGGTCTATTAATATTTACTTCAAAGGAGTGGTAAGCAAAGATTATATAATTTTTCCATTTTTAAAGAAACATTTATTGATCTGTACTATGTGCAAAACACTTCCTAAGTACAGTCATATAGCAAAGAAAATAAGATTTCATCCCAGGACTCATAAAGTTTATATGATATTGGGATTAGAACACTAATAACCAAATGAATATTTAATATTAAAGTAATGATATACAGGTAATGCATATAGTGTACTTTGCTTAGTTGTAACCATGTGGCAAATGCAAAATATTGCAGGGTTGAAAAAATAATAATCATTGCATTTTATTACATATATAAGGCCTGTATGTAATATGGTCATGTACACAAAATAAAGCAAGAAAAGCAATAAAAGATAATGAATTTCCTTCTTGCAAAATGTTTAAAATAGAAGACCCTTGAAAAGGATGCAGATTCTTGGGATTTATATATCGAACAAATTCCTTTCCTTTTGTTTAATGAAGACAGAGCAGAAACTCCTAAGCAGAGTGGGTCTTCTCTGCTGTCTTCCCCTGATCTTCTTGCTAAAGCATTGGTCTGCCTGCTCTACTTGACAGCACAGTGTTGATGACATTGAAAAATCATTAATGAAGCTCCCCTCCCTAGACCCATCAGCAATTTACATTTCATAAATGAAATCAACAGCCTGGAAAAGTCAGTGCTCCATATGAAATGGCAGGTTGTCTGCCTCAACAACTCTGCATGGGGATTTCTTGATTCCATGTTTCTGAAATGCTTGTATGTGAGCCCAAAATGAAGGGCTCCAGGGACAAGTGTTTATACAAGCTAGATATTGCATTAATGTTCAATACTAGCTAGTGGTAGAAAAAAATGTAAGCAGAGAAGACTGAGTGAAAAAAATAAAAGTGCCCATTCCTCTCTCTGGTCTCCAGATTTCAATCAACAGCATTAATCACTGTCCTTAGTTTCCTGTAGCTTCTCAGAACAGCCTTTGGGACTAAATTTTTTTAAATGTATATATTGTTGGTTTTTTAAAATATGACCAGAAATAGGTGCTAGTTGGGAACTGCATCCTTATATGACTCAAAAATTAATCATCATTAGAAATGTCATCCACACAATGAGGCATTAAACTCTTAATGACCAAATAGCCTAATAAAAGAGCTGCTCACCTTAGAAAATCTGTTGACAATTTCTCACATACAAATTCCCATTTTGAATATTTCAAGGGTGAAGTCCCAATTGTGTATGAAGAAATAAATTACATTGAAAGGTCATGCAATTTAATGAGCATAATTTTAAAATACTGATGCTCTTATCACTTAAAACTTTCACAATTTTACAACATTATTTTCTCCATTTTGTGAACGACAAAATGGAGACTTGTTTTAAGAAATACTGAAGGTTGCAAAACTTAGTAAGGAATCTGGCTTTTAAAGACAGATTACATGATTCAAAAGCTGGCTCTTGACACTCCAAAACAAGTAATAATTTACTTTTGGGTTATCTGATTAGTGTTTACATAATACTAAAACCCAGTAATCCTATTTCAGTGAGAGGATCCTCACACACTTGTATATTTGATAGTGCATGATAGGCAATTTTATGTACAAGTTGATTTTAGTTGTATTGCATGCTATAAAAATGTTATCCACAACTTTTAGTTCTTCTAAAAGATCTTTATACAAATATTAAAGCTAAGAGAATTCTATTTCAAGGGTAAAATGACAATGTGATTGAATAAGAGCCATGTGCAGAGTAAAAGAGCAAGGCTCTTTTGAAAAGAGGCACCTCATTTTAATTAGCAAAATAACAGCCAGCCCTATCCTAGGGGAAAAAAAAAAAGACTTAAACTTGTAGGCATCTGTTTCTGGGAAATTAAATTATATGCCTCAGATGTACTTCAGAAGTGGAGAACTAAGGAGGAGAGGGGGGTCATTTGGTCCTTGTGATGGGCTTTCTGATTAGGGAGAAAAGGCTGAGAAGCTACAAGGGAGTCCTGTTACAGCCACCTGAAAACTGAAAGAATTTTGACAAGTTATTTTGTAAGCCTTAACTACTGCATCTGCAGATAAAAAATAACACTTACTTTATAGAATAATAAAATAATACAAATTCACAGTGGACCAGAACTTGAACCATAATAAATTATTTAGAAAATTGATTTTTGCTACTAAAATTTGGCTAATTTGTTTGAAACTTATAACATTGGTTTTAGCATAATTCAATCAAAAAGGAACTTCCTGAGGGAAAAAAAAATTCTTTCTCTTTCAGTGAAACTCAAACTCATCAAAATTTACCACCAAAAAGAGTTTGGTAGTGTTTTATTATGGATGAAGGAACGACATATAACTTAATTTTAGCCAGACTGGTATAGAAAAAGCACACAGCACCAGGAAAACCAATAATATAGGAGTCATTGAGTCAGTGGTGGTCGTATTTGGTATGGTTGAACACTGAACGATACTGCTTAATTGAAAAAAATAAGAATAATACTACTTAATGGAAAACATATCATTCTAAAATAAAGATAAGTGTAACAGCTATGTGAAACTGAATTTTCCTTTTAGTTCTAGAAGCATGAGATAAACCAATTTCTTCTAGGACTAAAATATACAAGTGAGACCTTTTTTGTTGTTTTTTCCTATTTACCATTTCCTTCACTATTCATTCAACAATATTTATTGATCAAATGCCATGTGTCAGTTATTTGACCAAACCCTGGTACTTAAGTAGTAAAGAAGACATGGTTTTTGTTCAGAGCTTATCATCTAAACAGGGAATATAGATAGAGAAAAAAACTATATAAATTATATTTTATATAACATTAAGGCACATAAAAAAAAACAAATATCAACATCAAATTTCTCCTATCCAGTGAAGTGAAAGTCTCAACAAATGGGGAGAAATATATGCCAAAAAGTGTCAAAGTACATTAATAGCACTGACATCACTTTTTATAGGATGTGAATCTGAACCTTAAAGGAAGTAAGATGCAAATGACTACGTAATTCTCTATCACAAAATTTTGCAGTTAAACAGATGTGCTATTTTACACTGTAACTACAGAAAATGAGAAACTACAAAGACACAACGTGAGGTATTTTTGTTTGTTTTTTGGCAATGCTGGAGTTTGAACCCAGGGCCTTGTGCATGAGAGGCAAACACACTACCAGCTAAGCCATATCCCCAACCCCTTAAGCTACAACCTGAATAACACTGGATAACACCATTTCTGAGGCATGGTCAATGCTCAGTGAGCATCCCTGTTATGGGTTTGTTTTTCCTGTTTTTGAAGGGAAGACAGCTGTACTGTAACTAAATCATTCCATTAGACAAAAGAAGTCTCTTTGCCCAGGGATGGCACTATAACCCTAAGCAAACCTGACTAAATAAGGCAAGGAACTGGAAATTTTAAAATACTATCATTATTACCTTGGATAGGTTGGTATCATAGGTATTACTTGGATATTTGTAAAAATTATGCATTTTTTAAAAACTATTTTTTTATACTGATACTTTAGAAAGCATAATTTATAGACAAAAGGAATTATCCCATGACGATAAGAAAACTGTTATTATTCCAATGTTTGCTTATGTTATTAAACTTAATATTGATCTATTTCATTTATTTTTTAAAATTAATAATATTAGAAATACTTATAAAACTGTAGTTATGTCATTTTGAAATTATTAAATTAACCACCAGGTGGAGCTCCATGAATTAAGTGTATCAGTCAAAAATAGAAAATTGCTTAAATTGGTCAAACTGGGAAAATCATGGTAGTGATTACAATTTCTTCATTTTCAAAGCTCTTATGAATCATAGGAGATTGGATTTTATAAGAACAAGATGCCAAATTACTTTATTAATATAAAACGTTTTGGCAAACTGGAGTTTGAAATCAAACTAGCTTTGCTTAAATTACTTTATGATTTATCAAAGGTACATTTTCCAATGACATAGTTATAAAAGTATAATGTAGTGATGAAAGTAACTATAACTGAAATTGAGAACATATAAGAAAAATCAATGAAAACTGCCTGTTAATCCACTTGTACTGATTAGTGTTCTTTTTTTTTTTTATTATTATTTGAATGTGTTTATGTACATGTTTTACTCCAGGACCTGAAACTAAAACAGATGAAAAGATCTCAAAATCAGGTAAGAACACTTGTTAAAATTTTAACATTAGAAAAAAAAGTTCTGTTTGGTCTGAACAAGGCTGGTTGTACAATCAGGGCAGGGTGGGGTAAAGCCTTGAGACATGCAAAACACTGAAAAGATATCAGCATCAGCGCACCCTCCCTATATATATTAAGTTAAAAGTATGCTAAAATTAAAGTAAATTCCATACTAACAGTGTGTTTAGGGTGAGTTTATCAAAGTACCCCAACCATTAGCACTTTCTTCTCTCTGTTTATTTACTAGACAATTGAATATTGTTCACAAACTGCTAAGGTTATTAATCTGAAAAAAAAACTTATTTTTATGATCAGTTGAGCCTTATATACTTACATTCACCTATAATCAACCATTATTTTAAATCTCAAAATAGTGGTTTTATATACTTTAATGTAATAAATTCAACCCTTTTCTTTCTCATTGACTAAATATACAAATATTCTTTGGAGAGGCAGTTGATTACCATATTGGCTATAAATTTAAAAATCAGAATGCCTTTATTTATTTGTTTTGTCCTGGGGATTGTACATAGGGGCACTTAAACACTGATCTACACTCCCAATCCCTTTTTATTTTTTTATTTTGATACAGAACCTCGATAAGTTGCTGAGACTGTTTTAAACTTGTGATCCTCCTGCCTCAGCATGCAGAATCACTGGAATTACAGGCATGCACCACCATGCCTGGCTAAATATCAAAATACCTTTAAAATTAATTTTCTAAAAGCATATTTTGCAAAAGATAAAGTCAAGAGATTAGCTGGCACTCAGGGCAGACAATAAAAGTTGGAGAAGAAACATCATAGATTAGATGAAAATACAGAAACAGAGATTATAAATCTAGAAAAAAATTTGAATTAAGTATATTATATTTAGGGATAACCTAAATACTTTATATCTATATAAAGAAATGTATAGGACTATATCTAAGCAAAAAAGGATCTATCTCTATATCTCTGGCCAGTGAAATTGATGCTATATACATGCAAAAATTCATATTGTTGGTCTTAAAATATTTGCCTATTCTCATTTACACAAATTTGATCCTATATTTAAGTTGTTACTATAAGCAATTCATATATATATATATATATATATATATATATACACACACTCTCATATATATTTAATGTTAGCCTGAATTATTAATGTCACTTTTCTTAAAGTTTCTGCCAGCTTATGAAAAGGAATCGTCTAAGTCATTTTATTTTTAGTGAATGAATATAACCATTTTAAATGACTTTATATAACCTCAAAGCGTTTGTTCTCTGCCAGAAGATAAAAAATAGCAATTTTAAGCTGTGGGAAGATGTATATAGAATTACAATGATATATTGAGTGTTTACATAATAAAAAAAATTACTGAAATTTAGATGTATTTTCAGAAAAAGAAAAATTGCATATAAAAATTACTAGTATGGGCTGGGGATGTGGCTCAAGTGGTAGCGCACTCGCCTGGCATGTGTGCGGCCTGGGTTTGATCCTCAGCACCACGTACAAACAAAGATGTTGTGTCCGCCAAATAAAACTAAAAAAATAAATAAATATTAAAAAAAATTCTCTCTCTCTCTCTCTCTCTCTCCCTCCCTCCGTCTCTTTCTCTCTCTCTCTCCTCTCTCTCTCTATTAAAAAAAAAAATTACTAGTGTCAATGAGAATTCACTCATCAGATAAAAGCTGTTTTATCTTGTCCCTTCCTATAAGCATGACATTGCAATTTATACTTTATTTTGCTGTTGGTATATAAACAAAAAATTACCATAGGCATTAAAAATTACCTATTATTATTTACACTAAATATTTATATCTATTTTTATGGGTCATTTATTTTTAACTTCCTATAAGGAAAGAAAAATTGGTATTACTGGCACTTTAAATAAAATATAACCAATAACCAATTTTTTGAGAACACATATTATGCTAATTTTGATGATGCAATTCTGGAATTATGCTTGATGATATTTACAAACAAGCAATAAGACGTTGTTTTTATTCCAAAAGAGTATAATTGGAATATAGACATGAACTGTTTAAAGATGGCTACAAGGCAAAATATATTAGTGAAACCTGGGAGGTCAGAGCCATTCCTGTAATTTACTGCAATCAGTAAAAGTATCATGGCAATGGTGTATTTAAAGTGAAATATTACGAATACATAAGAACAACTGAGCTAGGTAGATGATTTCGCAGAATGCTGAAAAGACAGACTGGGCTCTATGCTAGAAAGAAATGAATTTGACTACCTTTGCCACTTGTTAGGGGTGAACTTACTTAAAAATCACTTCTTGTTTCTGAATTTGTTTCCATATCTATTGAATGAAGGCCATTATCCTAACTTAACAGGGTTGTTGTACAAAACAGAGGTAATACTTTCCACTTGGTACAACTTCAATAAACGCTTACTCTATTTAGGAGTAAGCTCAGAGGGAGGGGTGATCATAGCAGTCATAGGAGACAGGGAGAAAAAGACCAAGCAGCAAAAGAGACTCCAGGGGTCACAGGATAAGCAGAACAGGGTAAAATTCAATAGTAATATGCAACAGGGTATAGCATGCTATAAGGTGGTTCCTAAAATTTAGGGACTATGTTGTAATAGTCAGGTTTTTGTTGTTATTGTTGTTGCTGTGACCAAAATGTCTGCAAGAACAACTTAGAAGAGAAACAATATATTTTGTCTCATGGTTTCAGAAGTCTCAGTTTATGGTTGGCCAACTCCATTGCTCTAGTTTCCAACTTAAGCAGAATATCATGGCAGAAGGATATGGAGTAGGAAAACTTTTCAGATCAATGACAGCTAGGAAACAGAGAGGGAAGAAGGATCCAGGGATAAGATAAATATTTCCAGGAACACTCCCAGTGATCCACTTTCTAGGAGGGTACTCCCAGTAGTCCATTCAACCATCAATGTATTAATCCTCAATCCATTAATTCACAAATGGATTAATCCAGTGATAAGGTCAGAGCCTTCATTATCCAATCATTGCATAAAAGCCTCATCTCTGAACCTTGTGTTATTGAAGAGTATGTTTTTAACACATGAGCTTTTGGGGGACACTTCAGATCCAAAACAAAATAAAAAAAAAGGAGGAAAAAGTAAAATTTGTAACCTTGAGGACTTGAATAAGAAAAAAGGGTTATTATTGTCTTAGGATGGCATGCAGCATAAAATCCTACAGAAGGAAAATACAGACAGATATTTGAACCAAAATATTTTTATAATAATTTGGGCATTATAAAATCAATAAGGGCACAATATAAAGGTGGCATAGAGAAGAAGCAATGGCTTTGGAGTTTTAATTTTAAATTAATTAACTTCAGTTAAATTAATTAACTTCATTTACCTTCAAAATTATTTATAGCCATGACTAATATTCAATGTAGAATGATTTTTCGTTTCTTAAAATCACTCAAACTTGAAACCCACTGAAAACTACTAATGACATTTTGTCATATATTCCTTCAGGCATATAAACACATATGATTTTAAAACACAATCATTCTCCCTGTATTGTGCTATAAATGCTTTCATAATTGCCAAGCTGTTTCACCAGAAGAGAATAGATGTAATGACATAGCTATATATAACCTCGAATACAATGTCTGTCTGTGAGTTTGGAGAAGATGGTCGAATACCACAAATACCACAAATACCACAGCTGCAAAAATGAAGAGGATGCTTCTAAGGCGGAGTGGATGTTGGTTTCCACAAAGAGATATTCTATAGACACGAGGAACTTAGGAATGATCATTTTGAATCTGCAGATTGTATCCATCGGTTTCGAGGTTTCAAGTAGAAAAAGGAGAGAGCTCTTTAAGAAAAATGAGCAAGCAGATAGAAGAGTCAGGAACAAAGACAACTTCTTGGAGAAGTAAAAGAACTGGCAGAGAGATGGAAAGAGCCTTATCGGGAAGTCTAAGAGCTTAGTGTGCCTGCTGTTGCCAGCATCCCGAAGTGGAGACACTTTAAGGAATGAGAAAATGTCAGCAGTCAGTACCAGTGCCTCTTTCAGAAAGGTGAAGAGATGTGATGACCGAGAAAAAATCATTATTTTGATACCTAAATCTGTCATTCTGTACCCTTTTCTGAAAAACCTTGAATAGTGTGATGGAAGCAGCTTGTAAGAATGAAGAAGGGAATTTATCATAATAATTGAAGGCAGAATACAAAACTATTTTTTTTCAGAAGTCTCTTACTAAGAGGTGAACATTGATATTCCAGAACAAAGAATCGATGTCATATTTTTTTAAATTACTTCTCATGTTTATGATAGAATGGAGAATTCTAAGAAGAGCAAAACATCCATAAAGGAAATCTTAATTAGGAGAGAACTGTCCCAGATATTAGAAGTGTTGGGAGACACACTGAAGGAGGAAAAAATTAGTTTAATTAAAGGGAAGAAAAAAAAAATTCTCCAGAGCTTTGAGGGAATAATGAAAGGATGATTAAATTAGAGTTGAAGGTATGTGAGGATTCTACTGCTTGGTGATCTTTTCTTAAAATTCTGTGAAGATGACCAATAACATTTGTTGCAAAATTCAGGGGGATGGTTTTCTTGTTGCTTAATAAGGTAATCCCTAGACAATATTAGACAATGTTTTTCACCTCTTATTTTTCAAAGTAAAAGAATCATTTACATGGCAAAACTAAACCTCTTAACTGACAACTGTTTAAAAAAAAGTGAAACAACAACAAAATATGACTTTTGTGATACTAGAGAAATATTATGATAATTTAGTTTTGATACAGCATAATATTTAGGCACAAAATTTTCAATCTCTCAATAAAAATGAATACAAACAGGGCGTATAGTTTGTTAGGTTATTAAATAATAGTTAAACATTACTTTCAGGAAGAAGTAGACCTTAATGATAAGTGGTAATATCATTAAGAACAAAAATGGATACTGTTTAGATTCCACATATATGTGAGGTCATGCAGTATTTATTTTAGTTTTCCATGACTGACTTATTTTATTTACTT